AACACTTCTTATAAACCGAAATAACAGTTTTCAGAACTAGGTCCTCATGAATTAAAAAGTGAGATAATGACAGAGGCAGATCAACAGGAGGACATGGCAATACATTCAGGGGAAGCTACTACACCCAGTGCTGGAAAAAATCCTGTCATTCAGCGAGGTGTGTGCAAATCTGTGCATGCACAAGATGATAATGCAAGCTCTGCAATTATTACCAAGAATAAAAGGACTTTATCAGCAGATCTCAATGAGTGTGTTACAAAAGACTAGAATAATTTGTAAAATTGGGAAATGGGACATAGAGCTGCAAAGTGACTGACAGTCATTCAGAAGGCCAGTGTCAGCCCTGGGAACAGAACCAAGGACATTCTAATCCCTGGACAGAAATACGACAAGTTATCGCTTTTTATTTTCTCCCAAAATGTGCTTTTGTCAATGGGTCATTATTTTGAGCTAGGAGAATTGTTCTTGAGGTCTTAGTGCCCATTAATTTCTTGGTGTTCCTGTGAAACAGATGATTTTTATCCCCCCTGTGGCTCCTGCCACAAGAACATCTGTGCATGGGGACAGACAGAAAAGTCCCCAGTGTACTGATCCTATTATCCAGCTACCAGAACGTGTAATGTTCTGCTCCCTGCAAATCACAATGGATTTGATTCAAAAACTTAAATATAGAAACCATCAATTCCCCAAATGGCTAATTATTTCTGAAAGGGATACATTATTGCTGCTATTTTTTTATTTATTTTTTTGTTTTAGAAAAGCAAATAGTGGGGAACAGCACCCAGGATACTTTGGAAATGTTCAGGATCAAAGATGACTGGTATTTGTTTAAGACACAATAGCTGTACTTTTGGCTTCTAGCTAGCCAGCACACCAGGGCAATAAAGAATGGGTTTGGGAATACTTTAAATTCTAGCAGATGCTAGAAACAATTCAGGAAACTGCTAATATCCCAGGACTAAGGGCACTTCAGCTGAGCCAGGCTCCTTCAGTACCAACATCCCAGCAGGCAGTAATGAGTGCTGAAGTGTTAAGGAGCCATTCTTGTTTCCAGCTGTGTAGCTCCTTGACTAAAGCTTCTTTCCAGGGGTCTTTGGAAGCTTTGGAAAGAGCTGAAAGTGTCAGGCAAGGTGAGATGGTGATTTCCATCCAAACTGCATTTGCATTTCTAATCACAGTGTTCTTTAACCTATGAACAGGTACAGTCCTACTTCCTGTGGATTTCTGTGGATCTTTCCAGAGAATTATATTGAGGCTAATATTAAAGCTGGATAATTACCATTGTACACCTTACAGCTTTGTCAGATTCTCTGCCTTCTTTTATTTTCCTTTAACTTTGTGCTTTTCCCCCCCTCTCTTCTTTCAGGTGAATTTATTCTTCATTTTAAATGTGTTTTGGAAATATGGGAGCCATCAACTTCTGGTATTGAAAAAGAAGCCTGAAAGCAACAGCAGTGTTGATCAGTGGGGCTGTGGATTACTGTGCTTAAAGGGATTTAATAATGCACCTCTGTGCAAGGGAAAACTGCAGCAAAACCTGCATCAAGGGTCAGTCTGCAGAATTTGTACAACATTCCTCTGTCTGATACAGAAATGTACAAAATTACCTGCCCAGGGCACAAAAAAACGCATCACTTTGCCCACACATCACTTGGGATGGGATTTATTACTGAGTAAATGGGTCTTCACCTGGCCAGGTACATCCAGAGGAACAGGAGGTTCATTAAGGGCCATCACCTCTGCAAAGACTTTGAGAAAAGGTTTTGGTGGGAGGATGAGAGAAGGAATTGGATAATTTAAAAATAAGCCTGGAAAGTTTTACTTGAGCTTTTTTTTTTGTTTTTATTTCAGTGATACCACTCTCTTTAGGAGAAGATAGCTTTGCTTTAGGAGAGGGCAACCAAGTTTGAACCCTTGTTCTGACACAGATTCTTTCAATGATGCTCTGTATATTTTGACCTGCTGAAATTTTGTCCTGAAAGCTGTTAACTCCTTTGCCTTAAACTCCAACCTCTGGAAAGAAATATCTTTCAAGGGGTATTTTTTTTTTATTTGTTTTGGTTTTTTCTTGTTTGTTTGATTGGTTCAGTTATTGTTTTTGTTGGTTTGTTTTGGGGAGAGGTGTTTGCCCCTGGGAATGCCCTGCTTCTTCTTGATTTTTACCCCTGCCTAACCTAAAGGGACTGCTGGGCTCTGAGCCCTGCCATCCTTCCCCATCCCATGGGCCAGGCAGTGCCATCAGGAGCATTTCTGCCACCCCCAGAAGGTCTCTGTGTGCAAAAAACAGGGGCACAAAGGGAGCCCATGGACTTAATAGTAAAAGGTTTTAAAATCTTAAAAAATTTGGGGACTTAGAAAGTTAAGCTTGGCAAGCCCTGGGAAAAGTAGGCCCTGGGAAATGTTAGGCCTTGTGCTTGCTAAAGATCAGGTGAAACTGCACCTGTGAAATCAGTAGATGATAAATGATACAATTGTTAGATGTGATTAGATATAATTATTGTTTAAAGAACATGAGGAACAATGTTAGGGGGTTGAGGGGGATCACAAGAAATCCATGCTTGGGTAAAAACAATGCATACAATAGAACAATGTAAGTTTAATAATTAATATGTAAGTTATATAAGGATAGAGTATAAAACATGTTCAACTCAAAACCAAAATGGGTCAGATTTGGGTCTGTGTACCCCTGACACCCAGAGCTCTTCAATAAAGCACCTTCATCTAATCATTCCATGATTATGTGTGTTCCTGAACGCTAACAGACTCTGCCCTTCCATGGAATGACACTGAGACATCCATCAAACAGGATTTAACAGCAGCAGCTCAGTATCAGCCACCCTGCCCTGTCAGAGAATGAATCCTGCAGCCTTTGTGAGCGCTACCAGGGCTGGCAGCAGGGACTGTCTTCTATTCAGGATGAGGTGACAGAGTCCTGATATGGAGTCTATAAAGTTGCATCTTCAAATTTATCTTTTCCAGTGAAAGATTCCTCTCGTGAAGCTTTCCAAGACTGAAAATGAAGGGGAAGTAAGTGAAGTTGTTGAGTAGCAGTAATTAAAAATATAGGCAGCTCGTAAAATCAAAATTAGGGGTGTAATTACCAGTTGTTGTTATTTAGGGGAACAACAAAAAGGTTTTCCTGCATTTTTTTTGCAATATATTTTTTGTTGTGTATCAGAGGAAGCCACCCAGAAATACACCAGAGAAATTCCAACATAAAAGGAGAAAATAATACAGAAAAACCTGAAGTCCTACACTAAGAGCTCTCAAAATGAAACTATTAGAGAAATGTGATGTCATATCATTGCCATAATAATTTCATGTTCTACAGGGTAGAGAATAAGTCTATTAATAATTCTTAATAATTGTGTTTCTAAAAGTAAATTTTCAGAATATTGGAATAAAAAGGCTGAATTCTGTTAAAATGTAATTAAATATCAGGAAAATTTTGCATTTCATGGAAATAGCTCTGGATTGAACAGAAGATGAGGAGCAATGTTATCACCAGGGAACTATTTGCTGTTGTTTGAATAAAAGGTGTTTTTATTCACTTAAAACAGGATAATAATCAAGCACTATTGATTCTGTCCAGTGAGCATGCTTAAAGCAGAACCACATAACAAAATTATTCTCTGGGTCACAAAACACCTTTATTTGTCTTAGGTTCCAAATATTTTTTACAAAAAAACCCCAAAACAAACAGTTTTAAAAAGAAATTTAAAATTTCCTATTGAAAAAAACCTGCATTTTGAAACTTTGCCTAGAACTGTTAGTGGTAGAAAATGGTGATGTAAACAGAATTTTAATAAAAGAAAATTCTGAGGCCGTGTAAGAGTAACTTGTGGTGACTAGAGGAAATTCAGAGACATATTTAACTGACTGAAATATTCCAAAGGAAAAGCAAAGATCTTGAATTATTTGTTTTCCCTTTCACACTTTTTGTTTGTGCTTTTTTTTAATAATATATTTAAATTATTTTTTAAAAGAATTATCTAATTGCACAATTTTATTTTGATGTTAATGTAGGTAAAATCCCGCCCCCCACCAAAGCTGTTTCTTTAGCTAACACTACCACTGTAAAAGTCAATTATAGTTCTTAAATGCTAAGGAATTTTCAGGACATTTCCAATGTTACTATGAAATATTTCTTTTTCCCCATAAATAAAGCAAAATCTAATCTGTAATGCAGCTCCTGTGGTTATTTTCAGCAGCTTTTCTATTTGCATTCCCTGTATTTACTGCTAGACCAAACACTGACATAGATTTTGAGGCTTTGGTTTGCAGAGTACACACCAGGTAAGAAATCTGTTATCTATTAAGTCCTGCCCTGTAGTTCTGAATGCTCTGAAATAATAAGCTTTTAGGGATAAAGTTTCCTGTGCTGAACAGAAAAGGTGCATGATCCCAATGGTCTGTGCAAATGTCACTGCTTGAGTACCTCCAGAATGTCTCTAATTACTTACCAAGTGCCACAGAGGGGAATTTGTACTTATCCTTTACCTGGGGTGAAGGCCATGACAATTCCTGACAACTTCTTGCAGTTCAGTCGGCTTTTTTCACAATATTATTCAAGTTAACATCAGATTCTGTGGAACTCTGCTTCCAGCTTGTGATTTGCACTTGCAGTAACATCTCCAATCCAATGTGAAACTGCCCATTACTCTCCAGGAGTTTAAGGATGCATGAGCTGGACTCCTTTTAAATTGGTCTGGAACCAATTTGTACAATTTCTTTTTTCTTTTTCTTTTTTTTCTTTTTTTTTTTTTTACTCCAACTCTTGTTTTTTTCTTATGCCATTTCTTTTTAACTTAGCAAGTGGCTCTGGCTTGGTTTGGGATTGATCCTGACTTGTCCTCTTCCTGTGGACTTTGATGTGAAGAACAGGTTGTCCCAGGACTCCTGAATAGTTTTAAAGAGGCTTCTGGACATGGAAATGGTGTAAAATCTTGTGGAAAGAATTATAAATACTTCTCTGATGAATCCTCTTATTACATAGGTGAGGTTGCACTGCCTTTTCATGTCTTTATTTCTTCATACCTCATCTTGATGGGTTCTACCTGCTCTTCCCCCTTATCCTGGCCACACCACACTAGAGATGAAGGCCCAGATGTTGTGCAGGTGCTGGATCTGTGGAACTGAGCACAGCAAAATATGGAAGCTCAAATCCAAATGGCCACAATGGTGCTCAAATCCTTAATATTTCTTCACTTAAATCCCCAAAATCTTCATCAGGAGTTTAGCTCATTCAACACTCTGGCTGCCAGCTCTTGGTATTTTATTTTTTTTCTTGGTTCACCAAGAATCATGGTATAATCATTGAGAATTTTCTCCTTTGGCTGAAAAGGAAGGATACAGAATCATATTAAACACATAAAACCAGAAATGCAGAAGTGCAAGTGTTAAATTTGGGTAATCAAAGGTGTTTTACACTTGGCTGAAAATCTTCTGGTACTATTATTGCTGCTACTACAATAATACATAATCATTATATCTATTAATTTAATTATATGTATTATATTAGCTATATGCTAATATATATGCTATCTATTATATAGATATATTAGCTATATTAATTATAATACAAATAATACATTATGACAACGGTAAATCTCTTTTTCTCAAGTGACAATGTATTTGTTTGAACAGTTTAGGGTTTTCACCAGTACTTATAGAACACACCAGATGAAAAGAGAAGGTAATAAAAAGAGGAAATGTATTTTTTTTTTTTTCCAGGTCAAATTTAATGCATTAAAAATAGCCCTAAAGCAATCACTTTTCCCAGTGGCAAAAGGTGAACATGTAAGTACTTTTTTAGAAGAAGGAGTTGCCTGGCAAACCCCACTGTATTCCCAGGTGAGGAAAAACCTGCTGATCAGGACACAGATCCACGTGATGTTTGTTGGAGCTCATTTTTATCTCATTAAAACAGCACAAACAGACTGGGGGACGTGTCCTGTGTGTGCTCTGCAGTTTTCTTGCCACTCTGCCCCAGCAGGACAGCTTGGGAGCAGAAGTGCCCCGCGTGGGGCTGGCTGTGCCCCGTGCTGTCCCTTCTCTGCTCGGGCACTGAGCGTTGGGATCCAGCCCCAGTGGAACCTCCTGTGCCCCTGCATTTGGCACTCAGCAGATTTGCTGCTCATCCAGCATCATCTGGAGTGAACAGAAACTTCAGACATATCTAAAGCTGCTGTTTGGTCTCATTGAAGTGAACAGCAGGAGTCTTGCTGGCTCCAGGACAGCAGCGTTAATCTGAGGCTCTAAAAATTGAAGGGCTTTATTTAGAAAATCCTTCCTTTGACATCCAAGAGCTGAGGTTTCCTGCCTTGGATTTATGGACCAAAGCATTTCAAACACTTTCTGTCCTGTAGACCATTTACTTCAGAACATGGCCTGGGATAATCAGAGTCTGTGACAACATCTCTGCTCAAATAACAGAGAGAAACTCTGCCCAAAATGTGTAAATGCTGCAGCTAGAAACATTTTCATGTGTCATGTATCATGGAAAAAGCAATCTGATCCTGCCTGCCAGAGAAAATAAAATGCATTAGGAAACTGTAAAATCATTTGCTTTAAGTGGTTTGCCACTACAACAGTGATGCCATTTTCCTTAATTCAATCACCAAACACTGCCTTAATCCTCTAACCCTGGTGAGGCAGCACTTCTGCAGAGGACAGTTCAGAGCAGCCTGTGCCAGACTGGTCGAGCTAATCAGATTATTAATGGTGACTTTTCCTCCTCCTATCCTCTAGGAAGATAAACTGTTTTCCCTCCTTTTACTAAATTCTTCTGGGGTTTTTTGCAGTTTTTATATTTTTTTTTTCAATTTTCAAACTGCAAACCAATTTACTCACCAAGCCACCATCCTGCAATTCCATTTCTAAAATCTCTTTTAATTAGCACGAGGTCAGCTGTCTCAGCTGCTTTCAACAATTCCTTTGGCACATTATGGAAGGAATAAGTAACTGATAAAACATGCAGACTGCAGCTACGGGCAGTTTGGGTTTGGTTGGGGTTTTTTCTTTCAGTACTTTCAAGCAATACAATGTAACTTATTTAACTTTTAAAATATTAACAGCTTTACATATATTTCCCAAAGGCGCTGTATCAAAAGTTACAATCTAAACTGGATATAGTCTAAATCCTTTTGATATCCCCACTCAAGCGTATTGCAGCTGAATTTTAATGTCTGGTTTTGCTTTCCCATGGAGTTTCCAGGTGTTTGTTGCTAATGTGAGGCACGTGGAAGATGGACAGGGACAATTGGGAGGCTGGATGAGAGGATGATCAAAGCCCTGCTGGCTCTGGGAATGGATGGGCTGGTTCCTCTGGATCCCCAGCTGGCACCAGCCTCACTTTGCTTTTTTAATCTGGAAAAAGTGCAGAGCCAGTTTGTCCTGCAGTGCACATGAAGAGGGAGTGGGTAAGGACAGTAGCTGGCTGTGGTGGAGGCAAAACCTTTCCTCTGTACTTACACAGCCTCGAGTTACGCCAGCAGAGCTTTCCTTTGGTTATTAGGAAAAATTCTACACTGGAAGGGGCAGGAACGTGCTGCCCAAGGAAGTGATGGAATCACCACGGCTGGAAGTGTTCGAAAATCGTGGAGATGTGGCACAAACAACATGTTTTAGTGCTGGGCCTGGCAGTGCTGGGTTAATGGTCAGGATCTGTGACCTTAGAGTGCTTTTCCAGCCTTCATGACTCTGTGATCCCATGGATGACAGGCTGCAATCCCACGTCATAAGGGAGGAGAGACCAGCCCTCTGTTGGTGCCGTTTCCATGGAGACTGTACAACAGTTTGGTGAAGTTTTGCTGTAAAAAGGAGCACCTGTGCTTAAACTTGCAGAGATTTAAGTCCAGATGGATTTTCTAATTCACATTCCTACTTTTAAATGCACTTTATTTTTTCCTCATTTTAAAGCAGGGTAATTTCTCCTTCTCGATTTTCTCCCACAGGCTGTCCTTTGCAGCTGTATTTGCTTCTTGTCCTGCGTGCACTCTTCGATTGCCAAGGCTGCCATGCCCCCATGACTCACAGCTAATTTCACAAAAAACAGAGGAGCATAGCTTTTAACCCTGTGGCACATCAAAGTGAATAGAAAAGAAACTAGAGAAGGAAAAAAAAACCCATCTGTTCCACCCTAAGACATCAGAGAGGCAAAGGATCAGGGAAATGCACAGATAAAGAAACTCTTAAATTGCTGCTGTAGTTCCTCTGTTGTACTTTGCTTTTTTCCCCTGTGAACTGAAAAGCTGATACCACAAGAGGGAGCAGAGACAGGGACATTTCCCACTTTCCTTTATGATTTTCCCTTCCTCTGCAGGTCTCATCTCAGGACTTAAAAAAGATCTCAGGAAGCAAAGTCTCTTCTAAGGATGGACTTGGCTGATGCAGAAGTTGAGCAGGAAATAGAGCAGCAATTCTTGAGCTGCAGGAGGTAATGGAAATCCTCATACATTCACATTCTTCTGCTCAGAGGAAGATTTCGTCTTTCATGGCTACGCCAACAATTATAGATTCATTGCAGCTGAGTAACAAAGTTTATATTTGTAAATTTGGGCTGATATTGAGCAGGTTTACCTGCAACAGTTTCACGTAAACTTCTTGCCCTCTACACTCATTTATATCCACATGTGCAAACTGGAGCACTAAATTTAATTTCATTTAATTTTTCCAAGAAGTAGATAACCTAAACCCATTACATTTCAATTTGGCTTGTTTATTCATCTGTTTAAGATGCATGGAGATGACATACAGAGATAGTTAAGATTAATGAGTAGCTGATTAGTGGTTGAGTTCGCATATGGAAACAAAGCACCTGAAATATTTGCAGCAGGAAACTCATGACATTTACTTTAATTGGTTTGGGATGTTTTTGTTTGTTTTTGTAAGGGCCAGATTGCTTACAAAGCCACTTCCCTTGTGCCACTGAAATACAACACAGAAGAGATCTCAATACAAAAGAACATGGTAGACACAACAGTCAGTAGCAATTCTGGTGAGTTTTTCCATTTGTTTCAAGGAAGGCTTTTATTTTTTGAAAGCTTTTAATTATCAGCCCAGGTTTAGGTAAGTTCTAATCTTTACTACCCTGAATTTTGGCCAGAGAGAGATATAAGCACAACACCAGTCAGGTGGATCAGATATTTTCATTTTTTTTTTTTCATTTGATGAGAATAAATATCAGGTTGTAAAGAAAAGTAAAGTACAGTTTATTTAAATTAATGGATAACACTGAAATTTTGCAAAATGGTACCAGCTTACAAAGGAATAGCCTTAAGCTAGTAAATAGAAGAAAGTTTACAAATGTCAGGCAAAAAGAAAATACTAGAAAAATTAAAATTGGGAATAATGATCTGCAAAAAATAATCCTCAGGAGGAGACAGAATTTGAGAAAATGGTGATAGAACTGTCACCTGTGGTACCAGCAAAATGGCTCAGTGTCCTAAAAGCTGTTTTCTAAGCAGCCCTTGAGAGCCTCAAAAAGTGGGTTAGAGCTTAAAATACCCTTTCCTATCACCCACATTTCACATGGATGGTTTCCAGGATAAATTCCTTAGACTCCTTAATTTCCTCCCACCAAATGGTTGCATCTCTACACTGTGAGGGCTCCTATTGATTCCTGTGGCTTTGTTGAATGAGGAAGATCTTGGATTGACAGCTCTAAATTCTGCAGTTATGGTGATTTATATGCATGAGAAGGAGAATCAGTGAGGAATTCACTTCTTTTCCTGCTGATTTTCAGCAGAGTTCCTAAAAGCATTGCTGGCAGTCACAGCCTGTCAGTGTTGGCCAGCTCAGAGACCACCCAGCCTGTGGATCATGTCTCACCCTTGTTGTAGGGGGACTGTGATCTGAGAGGCCCCTGGCCTCTGCACAATGAGAGAATGAGTAAACAGTTGTCTGGAAAAAATGTGATTTTTTTTTTCTTTTGTATCCTATTTCTCTCTTCTTGCAATGAAATATGATTCAGCATCCCCTGGTGGTTTGATCCATGCATGAAGCCTCAGGATGGACTCAGCTCCTTTGCTCCAGAGAGGTTCCCACTCATAGCTGGAACACAACAAACTCTGCTCACATAAGTAGTTTCACTTAATATAAATAAAAACTCTTGGAGTTTACAGCCTCCTCTCCCTCTCCTTTCTCATTCCAATGGAGTAAGTGGTGTTTTTTGGGAAAAATTTCATTTTCATTCCCAGTGAGGCTGGGTTTCTAACCTTTGCAGAGTGATGTCTAATCCTTATTAATGGTGAATTATTGTCTTGAAAGAAAAGGGAATAATTTAAAAGGTGGAAAAGATGGCATGGTCTAGTGAATAAATCAGACAATGATGAGGCATAATGCTATTTTTCCTTTTTTTAAAATTTTTTAACAGGTTTCTTCAGTCATGTTGAGTTGAATGTTTCCAAATGTGGGTGAAATTACTCCCTTATAAAGATTTGTCACTGTTAAGCTATCTCTGTTCCTAAAATCTTAAATCCTAACCCTCTACACAGCATCAGTTCTGAGCATGTAAATGTTTCTTTGAGAGCCCTTAATTTCCACTTTGTGAATTTTTTTAAGCATTAGGAGCCAGGGGAAGAGCTCATCAGAAGCAGTGGGGGATACCCCTTTTATTCATTCATAAACCCCACCCAGAACACCTAAATTATCACTAACAATTTATCCAGACTGCTATTTGCCAGGATGTTTTGATATCAGCCTGTTCCCTGACAGCCCTGGCAATTCCCTGATCACTATGCAAATGAAATTAGCAACAATAAAGGGTGTGGGATGACATGTCTCCTTCTATCTTCAGGCTAATTATTTTTGTGGTAAAAGTCAGACTTGATAAGGATCCTAAAGGAGGAGAAGGTAGATACACAAAGTAGCTTTTTGTGGGTAGGAGACAGCATGACAAAAAGTGAAGTGTGGGTAAATAAAGTCAAGATAAACCAATTTGTTGGATCAAGAACACAGAAATAAAAAAGCCAGGACTGATGTAAAAAAAATGCAGAAAAAAAATATTCAACTTTCAGTTCTTTCAGAATTGACATGGAAAAGACAATGAAAAGCTAATTACCTCTTTTTCTTTTTTTCTCTTACACACATGATAAATATATCATTTATCATTAACTTGGTGCAAGAATATTTTTCCTGAATATTTAGGAAATTTGAATTGGAAGTGGGAGGAGGCTGGGGCACTGTAAAATACAGGGTGTTACCTTCATTTTAACAGTAAGCACGGAGCACTGGCAATTTTATATCTGCTGTGTTTGGGAATATTGGGAATTCTGATTTAGGCTCTCCTCTTCAAAGAGATGATGACTCATCAGAAATGCATAGGTTTAAATATCACCTGGAAACTTAAAACAAACCCAGGAGGTCAGACATTAATCAGGTGAGGAATTGTGCACTGCCAATCTTCGTTTTTTGATGGTACTTATGGTTGGCAAGTTGTGCTGGAACATGATGAACACTTTGTGTCAGGGGCAAAAGAAAAGGTGCTGAATTGGAGGGTAAATCTGGGGGAAGGAAAAAAAAAAACCCAAAAACAGGAAATAGAGAAAAAACAGCTAACTTTGATAAATTCAGAAGACTCTTTTCAATAGCTTCACCTGAAATCCCATTAGTCCTTTTCTTGGCTGGATTGTAGAGGTGGAAAACTGTTTGGGAAGATCAGGGAATTGCTCCCAGGATGAAGAAGAGCTGGTTTGTGGCTGCTCTGAAACAGGGCTGGTATAACCTTTGTGGCTTTATAGGTAGAGTGGGAGCAGGTGCTTTGGGAGCACCACAAAAACCTGTGTTCTTTGTCAGAAAGACACAGTCCCGGTGCCAGGAGCAGGGTTTAGAGTTGTGAGACAGCAGAGGATGCTCCAGGACCATGGAGACATCACCAGGCAAAGAGAAGCTTCAGGGAAAAAAAACCAAAAAAGTTGAGTTATTTTCCTTGATAATATCTATAACTCTTCCATTCTGGAAAATTATGGTTATTTTAGATTTAGCACTGTCTGCCTTTCATGATAATCCAGTAGAAAACTGTTTATATTAATTGCTGTAATGTATTCCCCTAATCATTGAAATGTTCCTGGGTAAAGTTTATTGGAGTACAAATGTTTTCTTTAGCAAAAAATAAAAGATTTAGATTTATTTCCACCCTGCCTGCAATGGTTTTGGAAAATTGACTGAAACCTATGTGTTTGGTTGGGGATTTTTTCTTCTGACTTTCTTTTGTCTGTGGAAGTGCAGACTGTTATTTGAGGCTAAGGCTGGATCTTCCAGTGAAAAAAAAATGGGTAAAGAAACATCCCTGATTGTTTTTGTATCCAGCAAAGTAACTGTTGTCATGAAAAGATCAGGAAGGTTTGGAAGTCTCCTTTCATTGCCTAAAAATGACATAAAAGCTGACAGAACCCAGTGAAATGTGTTAGTTTTGACAGACCAACATGTTTTGCTGAAAATGTTCTGGAAGTTCTACTTCTGAGTTGGCAAAAGAGAGAATTAAAAAAAAAAAAAAAGCCATTTTCTTTCTGAAAAAGGTAATTATATATTATACTTTTCAATGCATTGTTTTCTGAAAGTGATGTAATTCTTCCAGGGAGGACTTTCTGAATTATGGTGATCATTTTAGCATAATGGGAACTAAACTGCTCACTGCTTAACTGAAAAGGATTGGGTGGCTGTTTCCTAGGAAACGGGAAAGAAAGGGTTTGGGTGTCTT